AGTGATAGCAGGAGCAAAGGCAAGGAGATGGGAAGGGGTGAGCTGCACTGGGTTCCTTTAGCTGAGATGGAAGATTTGTTTGGGGCAATAGTGAGTCTTGGGGAAAATAGATTTGAGACCGATTTTAAATGGTCTAGAGAACAAGGAATAGGGGATTTGGACTGCTGTTCCACTTCATGGGGAATAATTTATAGACTAAATTTGGAATTTAAACTTCTTGTCATTTGGTACTGATTTGAACAATGAATGCTCTTATAAATAGATCATTACGAAGGGGAGTGGTTCCGCTTTTTATAGTATTTCTTTGTTCCTTGTTTTGTAAGGTCAGCCTGACTTGGGTGGGCATCATCCGATTTGGCTTTATTGTAACAGCCCTACAATCTTGCACCCACAAGGAGGGCCCTGAGTCAGCTTTGATTTATGTGTGGAAAAGCAGCTCTCTGGAAGCTCCTTGTGTTCATAGGGGCAGACTGGCTGTCTTCACACACTGGACCCCTGTGACCTCTGGAAAAAGCTCATGTGAAATGTGCAGTGATAAGAATGAAAAGGAAATTTGGTTTTAATAGAAACAACACTCCAGATCTTCTTCGATGGTGTTACAAACTTTTCTTTGCCACTTTTCTGGGAATGTGGGTTGTGTTAGATGTACTCAGAAATGGTTAGCTAAATAAAATAACGCGTATATATGTATTATATATATATATATCTATACTAATAAAAGGGTAATATGCTAATTAGACCGGGGCAATCAGGCCAGCAAGTGGGGGGCAGTTGGGGGCAAGAAGGCTGGTGGAGGGGCAGTTGGGTGGGAGCAGGCTGGCAGGCAGAGAGGTTAGGGGAGATCAAGGAGGTAGGCAGGTGAGTGGTTAGGAGCTAGCAGTCCCGGATTGCGAGAGGGATGTCCGACTGACTGCCAGCAGTCGGACATCCCCCAAGGGGTCCCAGATTTGAGAGGGGGCAGGCCAGGCTGAGGGACACCTCACCATCCCCGTGCATGAATTTCGTGCACCGGGCCACTAGTTGTGTGTGTGTGTGTGTGTGTGTGTCATAATATTAAAATTCACTTTTTAGTGTGAGGTGAAACAGTATCCATTGACCTTTTCATTCCAAGTAGTTAACAGTTTCCTCAGATGTTCGATGACCATTGTTTCTCTTTTTGTCTGAGTCCTAGAGTCAGCTCAGGTGCCATATCTTAAAGTGATGTGCTGTGTTCATGGAAGACTCAGTATTTTAAAATTTCAAGTCTCCTAAAATTAACCTACATAATTAAAGTAGCCCCTAATAAAATTCCAGCAGTTTGATTTTTTGGTTGTTGTTGCTATAGTTTTTTGTTTTTGTGGAACTCAAGCTGACTTTGAAATTCACATGGATTAAGAATAGTATGGCAGAGCTGAAGAGCAGCACCCAAGCACTGACACTGCCCGATAGCAGCCCCAGGAGGACACTGGGTTAGTTAAGATATGTGGTCCTTGGACTGGCAGCCTCAGTGTCACCTGGGAACTTGTGAGAAATGGAATTTCTCTGGCTCCACCTCAACCCCAGAATCAGAATCTATGGGGTTGGGGCCAACGAGTCTGTGTTTTAACAATCTAGGTTATGCTTATGTACTTTAACATTTGAGAAACACTGAATTAAGACATTTTGACATAAGGAAATACAAACCAATCAGTGGAACAGATGGAGAGTCCAGAAACAGACCCACGCATGCATTTACTTCTGATTTACGACAAAGTTGGCATTGTAATACAATGAGGATAGGGTAAGCTTGTCAATAAACCAGATGATTTGTATTCATGTGAAGAAAGCCGTCTTAACCCCTGTGTAGTATTATCCATGCACTAATCAATTTCAGAATGAATGTGTAAAAGTGAAAACTACAAAGCTTTTAGAGGAAAACTATAGAATATCTTAGAGAACTTAGGACAAACAGGAAAAGAAAGCTCTAACCATAAAACAAAAATATGGACTCTATTCATATAAGCACTTCTTTTTATCAGAAGATACCATTATTGTTTGTAAAGCACGTTGACTAGTGCCTTGCCAGCACGTAGTGTGTGTTATATTTGTCAAATAAGTAAATAATATGTTACCCTCCCATTAAACATCATCTCCTCATCACCTCCCCCCTACCCCCACCCCCAGCCTCTGGCAATCACCATTCTGCTTTCTGTTTATGAGTTTCACTATTCTAGGTACCACATGCAATTGGAATCATAAAATATTTGTCCTTTGTGTCTGACTTATTTTACTTAGGTTGATGTCTTCAGGGTTCATCCATGTGTATCAGAACATCCTTCCTTTAGAAGGCCGAATAATATTCCAAATTGGATGCAGCGGTAGAGAATCACTGGGGAGAGATGGAGTCACTTTGCTGGGGTGGCGGGGAGATGACATTTAAGCTGAGACCTGAATGGCGAGACAGAGCCAGCAGGGGCAGTGTGTGGTCATTCTCAGGTCAAAACCAGTGGAATGAGAGCAGTAACCCTCGTTGGGACATGGTAGAGACTCTGGATCAATTTCACCCATCCATCTGGACAGATTACAGCTCGAGTCCTCACAGCTGGCTGTCCTGCTGCTTAGGTTCTAGTAGTTGGGTTGGTGTTCTCTCTGTTGGTTTGCTTGCTAAACTGTTAGACTAAAATTTTTCAAAAATATATAATTTTCTTCATAAGTCAGTAGAGCATTGTAGCATATCCCCTGTTTAGTTTTCTTTTTCTTTATCTAGTGTCTTGTATCATGATTGATTTTTACCTTGTGAGCAGAAGTTTTATAAAATAAATTAAGTCTAGCCTCGCTGCTACCTCCTTTCAGAAAGCCTTTCCCAAGTCTTTATATCTCCCAGCCAAATGGCTATAAGATAAATGCATTCTTCAGTGATATCATTATCCAGTCAGTTCTTCCTTTAAAAGCTTTTCAAATGTCTATTTGCCAGATTGCATTTTACTTTCAGTGCTTAGTGAGAATGTCTTGCTTGCCCTTCACATGAAAGTCTCAGGCAAACTCTTGTTCTCGTGCCAGCATGGAAAACAGTCTGACTTTGTTGTTTTTCTGAGGAAAATTTCTCCCCCCTTTTGGTGTGCAAACCTTCGGAAAGCCTGGCTTTAACTCGGCAAGCCCCCAGGTAATACGTGTGTTGCGATGCTGTTGGTAAAGTGATCAGTGCGATTGGGAGGTGAAGAGAAGGAAGTTTTCTTGCACCCTTGGGGTCCCAGGCTGGGTCTGATCATTAAACTGATGAAGACAGATTAGCAGGAGAAAAAGCACACACATTTAATATTGGTTTTGCATGACATGGGAGCCTTCATGAGGAAATGACCTGAAGAAACAGTTGATTAACCGAGTATTTTTTATGCGAGGTTTGATGAGGAGTGGCATCGGGAGAATGTGAGCGGTCAGAGGGCATGAGGAAGGGCAGTAGACTGGGGGATCTTAGTGAGACCTGTTTGCTGGGATTCTTCTTAGCTCCCATTTGTCTTCAGAAGCCAGGAAGCTCCTTCTGCAGGTTAACAGAGAAGGCACCTCTCATATGAGCTGTTTCAGGGGAGAAGGCTAGGGGCGGGGTCAGAGAGAGCTTCCTGCTTCAGCTTTCTCAAACTCCTTCACCTTAAATATTCAATATACCAAGGTCCCTTAGTTGGGGGTAGCGTGTCCCGAACCCCCATCAGACTGTAGCGCCATCACCTGTACCCACTCTGGGTGGTGATTTTCTGTTAAGGGTGAGAGAAAGGGTAGTAGGAGGAGTCTGGGAAGGGGCCCGTGTGATTTGTGTGGGCCCCTGGGAGGCTTTGTGAAGCTTCACCAATTCGTATTTAATCTTCACAACCCTGTGAGATTCGAGAATGGCTATTCCTGTTTACAAAGAAGGAAAGTAGACCAGGGCGGTCAAGTAGCTTCCCAAGGTCACGCAGCTAATTTCCACACTTGGTGGAGCTGGGATTCGTCCAGCTCTTCCTGACCTGGAGACTTTCCCATTGTTCCGCAGAGCCCCGTGCTGAGTGCTGTGTGCTATGTGTCCGGTTGTCAGGAGGCTGCGGATGGCAGTCCCCCGAATAGGGGGAAGAGAAAAAGGCAGTGATACCACCCACTGTAGGTGGTAGAATTCGTTTGCAGGTTTACTTAGTGAAAACAGTTCTTTCTTTTGGAAATTCTTGAAATCATATTTTATAATAAAATCTCCTGTCAAGTAGTGTTACACATTTTAAAGAATTAGTTTTTTAATGTCTCCTATTTCTTTTAGGTCTTTATAGTGCCATATACACCTATTATGTTGGTAAATTCACTCTGTAGATTTAAGTAATGGAGGCTAACAAGATAAGGTTGTGCACTAATCTTGTAAACTATATTTTAAGGAAAGAAAAATAGTTTAGTTTGCAGAGTTAGTTGTAGGAGAATAAGATTACCTAACAGATATTGCATTAGTGTAAGCTCTGTGAGGTCAGGGGCCTTGTCTGTCTTGCCTCCCACCCTGTCGCTGGGGCCTTTTGTGTACTTCCTTGTACGGAGCAGGTGCTCAGATGAATTAGTGAACACTTCTTTGCACTCTCCTCCTTTACTTGTATTTGTGTATTCTTTGCCTACTCTTCTTCCGCTATCCCTTTAACAGTTTCCCTTTACTACCTCCACCCACTCCCTCTACATTTATTGTTATGTAGTTTATTTTCTCACATATATTGTAATCTGTGAAATAAAAAGATTTATTAGTTTAAGGTCTGATATATTTTTACTGCTTAGATTATCTGGAAGATTATGATTTATTCTTTAAGTGATTTATTCAATAGACTGAGTCAACCAGGTTAAGTAATGACTCTGCTCCAATGACCATATTCTTCACAAGAATATTTGAAAGCACACGTTTTATTATTTTTCACTGTGATTTTCAAATCTGCATTCAGCTGTATGCTGATATTTTTGAAATAATTTATTTTGTTCTATTTAGAGTGGGATTGCCCCAGCTTAGTCCTTCTTTCTGTGATTTTATCTTATTTATTTTTCTCCATCAGTGTTTGCTTTCACAACCAAAGTTTTGGGCCATTCAGACATCAGCCTTGATCCTGCGGACAAAACTTGAGAGAGGAAGCACGCGCCGAGTGGAACGGGCAATGAGGCAGACACAGGTAGGAGGGATTCATGTGGCAGTTTTTTTTTCTTTCAACTCTTTATTGTTCTCAATAAGCATGTCTGTCATGAATCTAAAAGAATGAGATAGCTTTCATTTTGCTCAAATACTTTGTTATTATTTAGATCGTGTATTTTAAAATTTGATACCAAATCTACGGGTCTTCACACCAAAGAATTCTCTACTTCCGTGTGTGCACTAACTGAGTGCCCTACAGTTTAACTCAGTCCTGACACTGAATTAGTACAGACCTCACTGGTTAAGAGCTCAGACTCACAGACTGTCTTCCATTTCAGATGCCAATTGCAAGTCTGGGTGCTTCTGACTGTCTGGCTATAAATCAAGGGTTCTCTAGACCCTCTCCTTGAGTTTGATAATTTGGTAGAATGGCTCACAGAACTCAGGGAAGCACTTTACTTACTATTTTTGGATTATTATAAAAGATATTATAAAGGATACAAATGAACAGCTGGATGAAGAGGTACATAAGATGTGGTCCAGAAGGGCATCCAGCACAGGAGCTTCTATGCTTATGGAGTTTTGGGTGTGACATCTTCCCAGCACTTGGGTGGATTTACCAAAATTAATGCTCTCTAAACCTGTTTGTTTTAGATATTTTATGGAGGCCCCATTATATAGGCATGATTAAGTCCCTGATCATTGGTGATTATCTTAACCCTTAGACACTCTCCGCTCCTCAGAGATTAAAAGCTTCAGCTCTAATGTTGGTTCCTCTGACAACCAGCCCCTGCCCCCCAAGAGTCACTTCATTAGCATAAACTCAGGTATGGTGAAAGGGCCTTATTATGAATCACAGCTTCACAGCTCTAAGCCTCATTTTCATCATCTGTGAAAAAAAGATAATAATAGTACTGACATTAAAAGAGACAGTGTGAGTTAACTTAAAAAAATAGGCAGCTCCACAGGTAAGATTGTATAAGGACATAAAAGTCATTCTAGTACAAAAATACTCACTAATGAACTGGCCCCATGTACCATTAATCTTCATTCAGGCATCATTCTCCACTTAATACTAATGTTTATTCCTGTCCACTGACGCAGTAGCAGACAGTGCCTTTCACAGCTTTTCTGATAAACTACGCATGATGCAAGTTGCCGAGAAAAATAAAAAATCTTGCAAATGATGTAGGATTTTATGCAGCCAATGAAGTGATATTTTAAAAAATTTATGTTTATTTTTAAACCATTCCAGACCTACTTAAAAGTTGTAAACCTACTTAAAAAATAGTGCAAAGAACTCCCATATACCCGTCACCCTGATGGTTGCCGAGTGGTAATTTTCTAATACATCTAATGATGTATTAATTGCTATTGTGCTGTAGGGAAGATCTTTCTCTTCTTATTTATTCCTCCACTCATTTATTTATTAAGTGTGGATTCATGGATTTATATTTTAGTCAGTGGGATGTATTCTTATATTGCCATTACTTATTCACTTTACTCTTTTTATTTTGACAGAAGGTCAGCTCATGTGAATAAAGATAAGCTTAAGAATAGAACATATTATTTGTTACCATATTATAAATAAATTCACAGACAGGATTCTGTGGTAAAAGCAGAAGTGGATTCTCTGTGTCAGAGAATGCTGACTGTACCCCGTTATCCATTCTCCCATTCCCTCTTTTAGTAACAGAACTTCCTGAATTTTATGCAGGTAGATGTCTTCCATCCTCCTTTGCAGGTAGGAGAGGTCATGTGACTTAGCTCTGAATAGTGAAATGTATGACTTAAAGGAGCTTACATTCTAAAGGCAAGATTATTGCTCTTGGAGTTATTTTCTGCTCCATCCTCTCATCCTCCTTTTTCAGACCACAGCCTCTCAGTGAAATACTGCACAGTTACCACGTCCGTTTGCTTTTCTTCCTGCAGCATTTGAGTCAGGAAACATTTTATTGCGGGCTTAGTATGTGCTTCATAGTTTGTCTCATGCTGTAATCATTTTGCCTCCTTTTACTAATTAACATCTTTAGGCCCCTTTATATTATTGTCACAGCTTGTTTTTCCAGTAGTGAGACAGAGCTAGGGGTGCCAGCTTTACTAGGTTTCAATGTCCTTTGAAGAGAATTAGGAGGAAGCAGGATTGGGTAAGGAAGAAGTCGCACTGACAGCCCAGGGCATTTTCCACCTGCATGTTCCCTTTACCCTCTACCTCCCTGACTGCCCCCCCCTGCCCCCCCCTCCCGATTTTCTGGATTAATTACAGTGAAACCTCAGGTGAGGTGTTCTATAACTGAGGGGAACTCTGAGACAGCTGTCAGCCTGGGGCAGTCTGCTGACCCACTCCCCACAGCTGGGTCTAATCAAAGTAAAGAAGGGGAAGATGTAGTTTCATGATCAGCATCTTAAATTGTTCGTGAGGAATTGCCACTATTGCATGGAATTCTATTTATTAAAAATTCACTTCACAATAAAACAGCAAAATGTTGAATGATCAGAGTGTTAAAATGATCAACTATGCATATTTTATTAAGTGTATGATGTCTTGTTCAAGGAAACCACATAGTACCTTTTTTGGGGGGAATAGGGCAACCAGTTTAAATGTCTTTTAAAGTTTTGGCCTTCTGAATGCAAATAGTACTAGAATACATTCATTTGTTAATGAAGGACATTTTGACTTAGAAATGATTTGCTTTGTGTTCATTTCTTCCATTAACTTGGGCATATAAAGTAATCATCAACATTCATTTTTCATTTGTAGCAACAATTAAACAAACAAAAAAAGGTATAGAAGTAAATTTGTTTACAGGTGCATAATATATCTTTTAAATTCGAAATCTGCATCATTTTATGAATTGTGCAGGTTATGTTTTTAGACATCAAACAACAGGAATGTGCTTTGAATGGGGCAAATGGATTTAAAGACAGAGTGGAATCACTATGCTCTAGCACTTTGCCCGTCTTGGCCTTTCTATACCTGGAGTCTCTTCATCTTGCCGACCAAATGCTGCGTTATGAGGGAGTTGTTATTTCTGCCCCTGCAGGGTGTATCTCAAAGAAAATCTTTTCACTCTCCAGTTAAGAATTTTTGGAAATTAGCCAGATCATTTAACAAGATAAATGTGAAATTTATCTAATTTTCTATCATTGTTGAACCATTTACCTCATAATCCAAACTTTTGCCAATTCCTCTGATGAGAGTTTGATATTACTGTGTTTGTTGAAATTACTGCATACCTGAAAGAAGAGGGAAATGATTTGAAAAATACTTGTATTTATAAAACAGTGTTTCAAAAAGTTTTCGTTTCTGTGAAAATCTGTTCCCTTCCTCAGCTGTATAAAATGATAAATGATAAAATGCTAAAGTGGAAAGAAAAATAAGCTAGAAGGAGCTCTTAGGGCCGTGGTCGGCAAACTGCGGCTCGCTAGCCACATGCGGCTCTTTGGCCCCTTGAGTGTGGCTCTTCTACAAAATACCTTGCGCGGGCGCGCACATACAGTGCGATTGAAACTTCGTGGCCCATGCGCAGAAGTTGGTATTTTGTGGAAGAGCCACACTCAAGGGGCCAAAGAGCCGCATGTGGCTCTCGAGCTGCGGTTTGCCGAGCTGCAGTTTGCCGACCACTGTCCTAGGGCAAGCTTAATCCTGTCATATTGCAAGTTGGGAAAATGCAGGTGTGATGAGGTCAGGTGACTGGCTCCAAGTTGCCTGGCTAGTTAATGACCCGGTCTGGACTGTAACTTACACAGCGACAGGCAGTTACATCAGAGGATCCAGTGGCAGGCCCTAAAGATGGCAGGTTTGCAAGGGATTTCTAGGTAAGACATGCCAAACTTAAAAAGGAAATAGTGTATCACAGCTCAAGGTGAATAAACCAGCACTCTAAGATCACAGAGGAAAAGGAGCTCCAAGTTGAGGACAACCCATTAAACACACTCTACCTCGAGAAAATTCTTCTAGGCTGGAGTTCTTTCTTTATTGCATGTTCAGTATAATTATCCAGTGTTTCCTTATACCCACTTCTTAGCAATGGACTATAAAGTAGTCGTGTTCTCTGTTGTCATTCAGTTCCCCCTCCCTATGTGACCCAAATCCAATACTAACCTTTTCTTTTCCATAAGCTCATGTCTTGTTTTCCTTCAGTGTGGTGACAGCAGTTCTCTATGTGTATAAATCCAGATATGAAGCAAATTAATTGAACACATACATTCAAAGAGACCATCTTACTTATGTCCCAACCAAAAAAAGTTGTGCAAACCAGTTGTCATCATTATTTTCTGTCATACTAACTGCTTTAACTTAGTGTTCAATAAACTGAGCTCAGACATTGAGGGTTAATGTGAGATTATTTTATATTCATTATTAAAGTAATCTTGCTAATGAGTGTTACTTAACCTGTTAATTTAAATTGTGACATTCTGCTCCTGTCCAGGTGGTTTTTCCTCTGAAGACAATTACCTAGCAGGGATCTTTTCCTTCACCATTACATTTTTCTGGAAGGACATTGCATTGAGTTGGGAATTTGAGATTATAGCCATTTTTCTGTCACTAGAGACTATTCATAACTGTAATTTGACCTTTTTAACTGTGGTAGGTAGTTAATTGAGATTTCATAATTTTTAAACAAATTTTAAAAAATCTGCTTTTGGTTACTGTAGCTTCGCTTATGCTTTGAAGGAATGGGGATTTTTATGGTTAATTATTGGAGCGAAGAGGACCCAGACCTGGGTGCTCGGTACCATTACCATTGTGGAGATTATTGCTCCCGTGTAGGATAAAAGATTTCTCTTTTAGGAGTTGGTCATTGATATGACTATTTGTTTCTAAGTAATGATTAAGGACATGTCATAACAAAAGCCTTAATTGGGGGGGAAACTGGCCACAGTAACATACACTAAGCTTTGTACTTATGTTTGAATAATTTGAGGCAGAGATCCGTTAGATTATTTTTATATGGATGGAATGCCGTACTCTGTTAGGCATTATGTGTAACATCTGGACTAAGCACATGGTTAGTAAATGGCAAAGTGTGTTTTGCT